GCCGGGGGGGGGGAGGGCCCCCCCCCCCCCCCCCCGCTCAGACTGGTTCGCACTGGGGGGTTTCCCCTCCCTCTGCAGTGGGGCACAGCCTCTGCTGCTCTGCTATCTGCTCTCTGCCCCATGCTCCCTGCTTGATTGGTTTCTCCACTTTCTGCTCCGTCTGCTATATTTTCTGCTCCCTCCCTGCCTGATCTGCTGCTCTGCTTTCTGCTCCTGGATGGATCACCTGTGCTCCTTGCCTGCTCTTTCTGCCCTGTTCTTCCCTGCTTGATCTGCTGCTCTGCTTTCTGTTCTCTGCTCTGGACTCCCCGCCTGCTCTGCTGCTCTGCTTTCTGCTCCCTGCCCCATCTGCCACTGTGCTGCCTGTCCCTCCCCACAGTTTGCCGTGCCACACGCAGAGGCTGCCCCAGGATGCTTTAGAGCATGGTTGCACCCTGCTCCCGGCCGCAGGCCATCCTGAGGAATCCCAGCCGTGGCCGGTCAGATCCCGCAGCGCGGAGTGGAGTGCGACCCGGGACGTCCTGGGCAGGCTTGAACCCAGGGCCGTGCAGCTGGGCCACATGACAGTTTTATTTAAAAAATCCCTAACCATCAGCTGTGACGAGGCCCCAGTCGGAGCGGGGTCGGGCAAGGCAGATCCTGCACGGGTTGGACTAGACGTGGCCTCAGCAGGCCCTGCCCGCCCCGCGGCTCTGGGATTCCTGTGACCACAGCTCAGGTCTGGCACCAGGTTTTAAGCGACCTTCACGTCAAAGGCAGGACGGTGCGGTCCGTGAAGAGCAAATGTGGCGCCTGCCACCACGGCGAGTGGAGCTGTCTGCGCCCCGAGGGGCTTTGCTGCGACGCCGTCTCCTGCAGCCTGCTAGACCTGGTTTGGGGGAAAAAGCTCCTCTGAGAAGGGGAGGAGGAGATGCCAGCTCACACCAGCCCCGGAGGCCGGAAGGACCCGGGAGCGCAGGTGGCACAGCGCGGCAGCCACGCGGCGCAGGCACGAGCCGGGCCAG